GAGACCTGGTATGGTGATCCCCCAGGCATTGTTCTTTTCGCTCAATTTTTTTTGGCTATCCAAGCTCTTCTGCGATTCCATATGAATTTAAGGATTATTTTGTCAAGCTCTGTGAAGAATGTCATGGGTATTTTGATTGGGAGTGTATTGAATATATAAATTGCTTTTGGTAAGATGGTCATTTTCACAATATTGATTCTACCAATCTATGAGCATGGTAAGTTTTTTCTGTCTCCTAGTGTCTTCCTCTATCTCTTTCTTTAGAGTTTTGAAATTTTCATTATAAAAATCTCCAATGTCTTTGGTTAGATTTATTCCTAAATATTTTTTGAGGCTATTGAGAATGGGAGGGTTTCCTCTAGTGCTTTTTCTGATTATTTGTTATTGGTATATAGAAAGATTACTGATTTTTGTAAGTTGATTTTGTATCCTGCCACTTTACTAAAAGCATTAATCAATTCTAACAGTTTTCTAGTGGAATTTTTGGGATCTCATATGTATAATATCATATCATCTACGAATAGGGATAATTTGACCTCTTCTAATTGGTACTCCTTTAATTTCCTTCTCTTGTCTTATTGCTCTAGCAAGGGTTTCAAGCACAGTGGAAATAGTGGACAGCCCTGTCTGGTTCCTGATTTTAATGGGAATGCTTTCAGTTTTTCTCCATTTAGAATGATGTTGGCTATGGGTTTGTTGTATACAACTTTAATTATGTTGAGGTATGTTCCCTCCAGTCCAACTCCTTCTAGGACTTTTAACATAAATTCATGTTGGATTTTGTCAAATGCCTTTTCTGTATCTATTGGGATGACCATGTGGTATTTGTCTTTAAGCCCGTTTATATGTTTTATTGCATTTATTGACTTACGAATGTTGAGCCATCCCTACATCTCTGGAATAAAGCTGACTTGATCATGGTGGATGATCTTTTTGATGTTTGTCTGTATGTGGTTTGCAAGTATTTTGTTGAGTATCTTTGCATCTGTGTTCATTAAGGATATAAGTGTATAGTTTTCTTTTTTTGTTGTATCTTTACCTGGTTTTGGTATTAGAGTGATACCGGCCTTCATAGAGGGAGTTTTGGAGTTTTCCCTCTGTTTCTGTCTTTTTGAATAATTTAAGCAGCATTGGTTCTAGATTTTCTTTGAATGTCTAGTAGAATTCCACTGTGAATCCATCTGGGCCTGGGCCTTTTTTAGTTGGGAGGTGTTATATTACTGTTTCAATTTCCTTATTTGTTATGGGTCTGTTTAGGCTGTTGATCTCCTCTTAGTTTAACTATGGTGGTGGCCATAATTTTAGGAATTCATCACTTTCTTTTAGGTTTTCAAATTTAATAGGGTATAGATTTTTAAAGTGTTCCCATTCCCTTACAATGTTTTGGATTTTTTTTGGTGTCTCTTGTGATGTTTCCCCTTTCATCTCTGATTTTGTTAATTTGGATTTGCTCTTTCTTTCTTTTGCTTAACTGAGCTAAGGGTCTGTCTATCCTCTTTAACCTTTCAAAGAACCAGCTCTTAGATTCATTAATTTTTTGTATTCTTTGTTTCTATTTCATTAATTTCTCCTCTGAGTTTTGTTATTTCATCTCACCTACAAGGTTTAGTGTTGGTTTGTTCTGGCCTTTCCAGAGTCTTGAGCTGTATTGTCAAGTTGTTTACATGTGCTTTTTTAAATTTTTTAAGGCCCTAAGAGCTATAAACTTGCCTCTTAGTACTGCTTTTAGGGTGTCCCAGAGGTTTTGTTGGGTTGTGTTCTTGTTTTCATTTTGTTCCAGGAATACTTTTATTTCTTTCTTAATTTCTTCTTTGACTCATTCTTGATTCAGAAGTGTGTTGTTTAATCTCCATGAGTTCCTGTACTTACTAGAGCTTCTTTTGCTGTTGATTATAAGCTTTATTGCACTGTGGCCTGATAGAAGGCATGGAATTATTTCACTTTTTTGTATCTGTTGAGATTTTTTTTTTGTGCCCCAGAATGTAGTCAGTTTTAGAATAATTTGCATGAGCTGCTGAATAGAAAGTGTATTCTTTGGTGGTTGGGTTGAATATTCTGTATATATCTGTTAGGTCCATTTTTATATATTATGTCATTTAATTCAGATGTCTTTCTTTTATTCCTTGTCCAGTTGACCTGTCTATTGAAGAAAGTAGGGTATTAACATTGCCCACTATCACTGAGTTGGTGTCAATCTCTTTTTATAGTCCTGGACTACCGATTTCATTAAATTGGGTGTTCCAGAGTTTGGTGCATAATGTTCATGATTGTAATATCTTCTTGGTCAGTTGTTCCTTGGATTAGAATGAGGTAACCCTCCTTATCTCTTCTGATGAGTTTTAATTTGAAGTCTGTTTGGTCAGATATTAAAATTGCAACACCTGCTTCTTCTTAGGGCCATTTGCTTAGAATATTTTTTCCCATCCTTTTGCTCTAAGATAGTGTCTATCCTTGAAGGAGAGATGAGTTTCTTGAAGACAACAAGTAGATGGGTTTTCTTTCATGATCCATTGTACCAGCCTGTGTCTTTTAACAGGGGAGTTGAGGCCATTGGTATTTAGTGTTACTATTGAAAGGTGAGGATTGTGTACTGTCATTTTAATTTTTTTGTGGCCCTATTTTGTGTTTCCTTTGATATACCTTTCTTTACTCTTTCTGTAGCCTTTTGGACATACTCATTCCTTTCTTCGGTCCTTTGTATTGTTTCAAGTATTCTCTGTAGTGCTGGTTTGGAAGACATGAATTCTTTTAGCCTATTTGTGTCATGGAAAATTTTCTGTTCCCCTTCATCCATGATAGATAGTTTTGCTGGCTAAAGTATTCGGGGTTGGCATCCATGGTTGTTTAGAACTGGGAATACTTTGTTCCAAGCTCTTCTGGCTTTCGTAGTTTGCATTGAAAAGTCAGTAGTAATTCTGATGGGTTTTGTTAGATAAAAAGGTGGCAGGGGTCAGGACTTCTGGGAAACAGAAACAAAGAGGACTCTGGCAAAGCGAGAGTTTAATGGGTTTGGTGGGGCTGGTCCTCAACTCAGGTGTGAGGAAGAACTAGCAGGCTAATGGCTTATAAAGGGAAAGAATGCAGAAAAGGAGAATATTTTTCTGCTGTTTGGGGCTGTTTTGGAGGCTGCTGGCTCAGGGAGGGCATAGGGTCTATACCTGGTGAAACTTATTGGGGAAAACATCTACTGTAAAATATGTTTTCTACAATTACAGGGTTCCAGGAACTTGTTGCCGCTAAGGGCTTGGGAAAACCTGTTTGTCAGCCTGTGGAGCATGCTCTGGTGATCACAGTACATTGGGTCATTAATTCCCAGAGCTGCTTTTGTTAGCTTGGCTGGGAGTTGGTTGACTTAGTTCCTCTCAGGGCCCTTAAGGTTTCTGGGTCTGGAGTCACCTAGATCTGAACCCTATCAGGTTTTCCTTAATATATAACTTGTTTTCTCTAGCAGCTTTCAATATCTTCTCTTTGTTCTCTACTTTTAATGGTTTTACTATGATATATCATGGGGACTTTCTGTTCTGATCATGTGTTCTCTGTGCTTCTTGAATCTCTATAGGTATATCATTCCTTAATGCAGGGAAATTTTTTTTCTATAATCCTATTGAAGACCTGTTCAATGCCATTGGTTTGATTGTCTTCTCCTTCCTGTATGCCTATAAAACATAGATTTGGGCATTTCATGTTCTCCCACATTTCCTGAGTATTCCATTCCTGTGTTTTCTTGAATTTTTCATAGTCTTTAGAAGTCCAGCTCTTCAACTTTATCCTCCAGTCTTGGTAGTCTGTTTTCCATTTCATTCATTCTGCTTATGAGACTTTCTTCTGTTGTTCCTACTTGGTTTGTTGAGTGTTTTAGTACCATGTTCATTTCCATTTGGTTTTCTTCACTTTTCTCTTTAGTGAATTCCCTTTTCAAATTATGAATTGGTTTTGATATTTCATTAAGCCACATAATTGTATATTCTTGAGCTTCAGTCAAAAGTTTATGCCTTTCCTCTTTGAGTTCTTTGAGTTGTTTGTCAGTGTTTTCTTGTAATTCTTTGATCATGTTTATGATTGTTCTTTTAAATTCTGTGTCCTGAGGTTCTATAGGGTGGTTCTCAATGTTCTGCCCTTCTGTAGGACTCATGGGTTTTGCTGGGGACATATTTTCCTGGTTTTTCATATCATTTCTGTTTTTGCATTGCTCTCTGGGCATGTAGATGTTCTTTGTCAGTTATGTATCCAACAGGAACTTCTACTCTGCTTTTGTTTAATTTAATTTTGGTTCAGAGTCCTAGCTGAGCAGGTCTGTCTGCCTGATCCCAAGGCTAGGAATTTGTGGGTGAGGGGGCTGCCTGTGTGAGAACTTAGGGATCTATGGTAGGGTGAGTGGTTAATCTGGTTTGGGAAGGTAGTCCTGGGATTTGGATTTAATGAATAGGAGCCAGCCTTTGAGAGAAGCCTGCAGGGACAGTAATGAGAGGAATGGGGTAGAGAGTCCTCCTATGGAGAATGAGTTGGAGCTGAGGCTGGGCCCACCTGTGAGAGAGGCCAGCAGGAGACAGGGTGGGGGTGGAGCCAGCCTGTGAGAGAGGTCAGCAGGGGACAGTGCAGGTGGATGAGAAAGATGGGGGAGGGAGGCAGTGAGCTTGATCAGATTTACCAGAGTCCTGGATGAGCAGGTCTGTCTGATCCCAAGGCTAGAAATTTGCTGGTGAGGGGGCTGCCTGGGTGAGAATTTAGGGATCTATGGTAGGGTGAGTGGTTAATCTGGTTTGGGAAGGTAGTCCTGAGATTTGGGTTTAATAAATAGGAGCCAGCTTTCGAGAGAGGCTTATGGGGACAGTGATGAGAGGAATGGGGTAGCTAGTCCTCCTGTGGAAAATGAGTTGGAGCTGAGGCTGGGCCCAACTACTGTTTTTTGAATAATTGCAAGACACTTGTTTCAACTAGAACTGTACCTTTTTTATTTGATTTTAGAACTAATTTTAATTTTACTTGACTGAAAATTTCAGATGATATAATTTCTACAGTCACTCTGTGGATTATTGCTGATTTTGATATGCCATCTGGGAGAAAGCTGCTTTTAAATGCATTAAAACACATGGTGAGTAGATATTCTTCCTGCAAATGTGTTACAATTTCAAGAAATAGTTTGAGAAACAGACATTAAATCTCTTTTTTGTATTTTTTATTGAATTTTTATGATTTTCATCCAATATAATTTTATAATCTTTAGATCCCCCTTCTATCACTACCTCCCTTTTTTGCCTCCCACCCAATTTAATGTACTCTATTATATATGTATATATAATGTGTTCTATTATATATGTATATATTGAGGCCTATAGAGTCTAATTTGTCTTTTTCTAAAGACCTTTAGTGTTATTTATCCCTTCCTATACTCTCTGCTATGTCCTGCCCTCCCATTCCCTCCCATCTTAACCCTTCCTATCTAATGTTCCAGCTTCCCACTTCATATCACCACATTCTACCACCCCTCCCAGGAAGGTTCCCCCACCCAACCACCCATGGCCATTTATTAGTTTCTTGACCTTCCTGAATTTTCAAATTGAATGTTGAATATCTAAAATTTCAAAGCTAGCATCCACCTATGAGAGAGAACAGGTAACTTTTGTCCTTCTGAGGCTGGGTTACCTCAGTCAGGATAATTGTTTTCAGTCCCATCCATTTACCTGTGAATTTCATAATTTCATTTTTAAGAACTGAATATTCTGTGTATGTACCATACCTTTGTTATCCATTCATCAGTTGATGGATATCTAGGTTGTTTCCAGTTTCTGGCTATTATGAAAAGGGCAGCAATAAACATGGACGGCAAGTATTTCTTACGTAGAGTATAGAGTCATTGGAGTATATGCCAAGTATGGTATGACCAGATCATATAATGGATCAATTTCAAGCTTTTTAAGGAATCTCCATACTGATTCCCATAATGCCTGCACCAGTTTGCACTCCCACCAGGGGCCATACCCTTAAAGAGTACTGACACTCTCTCAGCAGTTACCAGTTGCCAATAGTTCCTCAGCAGGGGGTAAGATTTCATGATCACCTCCCTTTTCCATGCTGGGATTTTGTCTGACTTGATCTCAGGCAGATCTTGTGCATCCTGGTATAACCACTATGAGTTTATATGTGCAACTGCCCTGTTGTGTCCAGAAAACAGTTTCACTGTAATCATCCACTGCCTGTGGCTCTTAGAATCTTTCCATTCCCTCTTTGATGATGATCCCTGAGCCTTGAGAAAAGGGAATATGATTTAGATATCTCACTTAGGGCTGAGTACTCCACAGACTCTTATTCTCTGCACATTGACCAATTATGGTTCTCTTTGTTAATCACCATCTACTGCAAAATGCAACGTCTCTGATAAGGATTGAGAGATGCACTAATCTGTGGTTATAGAGCTAAGTCTTTAGGAGTCAGTGTCAAACTGTCCATTTAGCAGAATAATAGTAGTAGGTTCTCCCCTAGAGCCTATCACTTATCTAGCCACAGATTTTTGGCCCTAGTAACATTGTTAGGCATGGGTTCTGAAATGAACATATGTATTTCTAAGGGATATATCTCTATATTTTAAAATTATGAATTACACATACAGTATCACTACCTGAGTCCATGTATATAGCTAAAGGCTACATAACAAGAAACAGTGCCAAACAGGAGAAACTTTCTATGAGTTCTTGGCCAGGGTGGTCCAAGAGACTCTCAAAATTACACAGGCTATTGCCACAGCCCTTGATGGCCTCCCAGAACTTGAAGGTAAGACCCGATTGCTGAAGACAGAACATACTTTGGACACATGATTTGGAGCAATAGAGCTGGAACTGACCTGAAACCACTTCCCCTGAAGGCTAGGTCTCATAGCTTTGGAGAGTGCTATGAAGGTGCCAAGGGAAAACATCAATTGATCTAACACCAGCTTCAAGACCAAATAACCACATCAGTGGCCAGCACAGCATACAACATTGGTGCAGTAGTGGCACTTTTATCTTGGGGGCAATCAATAGCTACCTAATTGGACTAAAAGCCCACTCAATAAGAAGAAACTCAAGTGTGGTACATAAACATAACCAAGTACACATTGCTGGAGAGGTCATAGATCTTAGAGAAAACCCCAAGACTGTTACATCCCTAGACTAATGTAATTTCTTGCTAGATACAAAATAGGTATCCTTATATTTACAAATATCCCAGTCACCATTCATCAGAGAAGCTTATTTTGCACCAGTCAGAGACTATTACCAAGTACCACAACTAGTCACACACATTGTCTATGAATTGCCCAGGCCTAAGCAAAACATATACAATGCAACCTCTACATTTAAGGCACATAGAACATAGAACAGGGGTAATGAAGACAACCCTAATGAATCTCTCAGTTCTCATTAATGAAGATCCATCATGCAGCAGAGGGCCAGGAACACAAAAGGTCACAAATGGCCAAAACATAAAGATTAAGAGTCTACAGATTGCTGGTCCTTGGACAAGACTCCTATATTAAACTTCACCCACCTAGGGCTCAGGGACCATCACAGAAGAGGGAACAGAAAGATTTTAAGAGCCAGGGAGGAAGTCCATGACCATATGCAAACAGTTCTACAAGCTCCTAGGAACCTGCTCTTATGATCCTATGACAATGGTGTCAGCATACACAAGTTCCATGCAAATTCCTTGACACATTTGTTCTTAACACAGGTGACAGAGTATATGGGTTCCAGTGTGGGGGATATGGGAGGGTGCCAGTGGGGACAGGGGTATAAAGATGATTAAGATTGAGATAGCTAGTCTTGCCCTCACCTCCCTTTGCTTCTCTGGGCTGCACAGCCTCCAGTGTCCTGGTGCCAGCATCTTTCCTGAGTAAGTCCATTGGTGCCCACCACGCCTTGATCCCCATCTCCCAGCCTCATACACCCTCCCAGCTCCCCCACCCCATCTCTCCTCCTAGCCTGGATACTGGCCCATTTCTTGTCTTGGCACCCCAGACACCAGGCCTGACCTCTCAGCACAAAGCCACCACTGCTTACTGATCCTTTGCATCCAGACCAACCCAGTTCCTCCCCATGGTCCACAGGAGTCCTCTGGGCCTGGTCCAGCCCCCACCTACCTTTACTTCCCTGGGCAGCTCAGCCAACAGTTTCCTGGTGCTAGCTTCTTGCCTGGGTGGGTCCCATGGCACCTTGACTCCCCCAGCCTCATTCACCCTTCCAGCTCCCCTCCTAGCCTGGGTACTGACCCATTTCTTGTCTTGGAACTGCAGACAACTGGACTGACATCTATGCCCAGAATCCCCACTGCTTCCTGATCCTTTGCATCCAGACCAACCCGGTTCCTCCCTGTGGTCCCCAGGAGCCATCGGGACCTCTTCTCATCCCCACCTCCCTTTACATTCCTGGGTGGCACAGCCACCAGCTTCCCAAGAATAGCATCTTTCCTGGGCTCTGCTCCCAGGGCAGCCCAGCCCCCAAATTCTTGAGAGTAACATCTTTCCTGGAGAGACCCAGACCTTAGGAGAAAGCCTGAGAGCATCTGATCCTCATCTGACAGGCCTTGTGGGGTCTCTCCCTCTCCTCATGGGTCTTTGGCCACCGGCCCATGAGGACAAAGGGAGCAGAAGCGACGAGCGGGATCAGGATGGCCAGTGAGCACTGACAGAAGAAAGCCCTTCTGGGGAGGCAGGTTCAGTGATGCAAACAGCTCCAGACTCAGTGAAACAGCTCCATTTATTCAGTGAGAGAACTAGGGAAAATATAGTGTGGAGGCAGTAGCCAATGCCTCAGCTGATAGGTGCTCATAGTATGCTTTATTTACATGTGGCAGTGGGTTCCTATCCTCCGACTACCAGAAATGCCTAATTATCATATAGAAAAAACCTGGGGGTAGTTTTTACTCCAGGTAACTATGCCAAAGGTCATGTTCCAAATAACGTCAGGCATCCGTGCTTGGTGGCACTTTCCAGGTAAGTCAGGAAGAGAGCAGGAGGCCCCCTGCTGAGAAGGGGAGTCCTTCCATATGGTGCCAAGCCCCTTAGAGCTATCCAGACATGGAGGACTACAACCCTAGCAGCAGGGTTCCCCAACAGGGCCTCTGTGGGAACTGCTGAAGATGAAAGCAATGTGGCCACTCCAATATAAAATCAAAAAGAGAACCGGAAGCCCAGACCAACCGGATTTTCATGCCCAACAAGTAAACCACAAGGGCACATAAAGTTTACAAAAAGAAGCAGACCTAAACTCAACAAAGGAAGGCTTGAGTCTCACACAAGAATTGGACACTACAAAAGAAATTATCATGTCAAAGTCACAGAGAAAAAATAATAACATGAAAAATCAAAATAATATATCCCCACCAAGTACCAATAGTCCTCTAGAGGAGTACAATAAGAACTCCCTAGAGATAACAGGACATGGAACCCAAAAGAACAATTATAAACATGATCAAAGGATTCATGGAATTTAAAGAACACAAAAAGAACTGAAGGAAGATAGGGATAAACATCTGAATTCAGAAAAGAGTGGAGTTAGAAATATTGAAGACTACTCAGGCTGAAATGAAGAAGGAAGTGAAACACTCAGTAAGCCAATTAGAAATGACAGGAGAAAGCCTCACCAGTAGGATGAATGAAATGGAAAACAGAATATCAAAACTGGAAGATAAAGTGGACGAATTAGACCACTCAAACAAAGATTATGAAAAATTTAAGAAATCACAGAATGGAATATACAAGAATTGTGTGACACCACAAAAAGACCAAACTTGTGAATCAAAGGCATACAGGAAGGAGAAGAATCTCAAGATAATGGTATGGACCAGATCTTCAACAGAATCATGAAAGAAAATTTCCCAAAATTAAAGAAATACCTATACAAATACAAGAAGTATATAGAACACCAAATAGACAGGACCAGAAAAGAAACTCTCCACGGCACATCATAGTAAAAATACTAAACATACAGAACAAAGAGACAATACTGAGAGCTACAAAAGAAAAACAAGTCACATAGAAAGGAAAACCCATTAGGATTACAGCTGACTTTTCAGTGCAAACTATGAAAGCCAGAAGAGCCTGGACCAAAGTGTCCCAAG